CACTTCGGCGAGAGCCGAAGGGAGGAGGTGATTGGTGCTGGCGATCAAGAGAGTTAAAGGCATGAGCTGGAGGAGCTGGCAGGCCTTTATGTATCATTAATTGGGGGCAGGAAGGAGACAATTCAAGAATAGCACCCAGGAATCCGGAAGATCACTGAGACTCTTTACCCAGAAACACTGTGGGGACTGAAGGTGGGGATTTAGGGTCAAAGTTGGGGACTTGAGATCTAGAAATACAAGGAGGTCTCCACCAGGTGGAGCCAGTCAAAGGGACACATTGGTCCAGAGATAAGGAGCCAAGCCTGGAAGTCACCTTGGGTTGACTCCACTCTCCGCTGCCCAGACTCCTCTCCCTGAAGGAATCTTTACAGCCCGGGGACTCCCTGAGCTCAGCGCGCTTTCCTCCTGGTCCCACAAGGCCAGTGGCGTGAGTTGTCTTCCAAGGGAGCCCTAAGCCGTTCTTTCTCAGAACAGCAGCACCTCAGAGAGCAGCTGCAGAGCCCAGCAATTCCGCTCTGGGGAATAGAGTGACTTCCAGGAAGCTCCTCGCCTTTCCTCTAGGTGGAAAAATTCCATGCTAATTAGGTCCTACCTAATTAAGCTGCTTTGTAGTTTTACACATGAACCATCATAAATTCTAAATTTTCAAAGCCAGGCACACCTATATAAATTTTAGAAAGCACAATAAGCTTTTAAGTTTTAGGTTCTAAGTGAGCTATATCAGTTTATCTCACTACCCACAACGTGGTAATAAAACTTGAAAGGTTCATTCTCTATTAAACCAAGTTGGTGAGTTTTAACAATTCTTAATAGTTGAAATAGAATTCTAAAATGGTATAGGGGACTGCCTCCCTGGTGGCCCAAGGGATTAAGCATCGGCACTATGAAGCTATCTGCAGCCACTAGAGCATGAGTTCAATCCCCAGCCAGGGAGCTGACCCACATGGCACAGCAGACCTCTCCTGTCTTGCCCACTGCTCCCCTCCGCAGTGTATTACAGTGGATCCTCCTGTTCTGCTCCCCACACTGTCTCCTGTGAATCCTCTCACCCACTCTCTGGCCTATACCCCAGCTCTTATATGCTTAAATAAACCTTTTTTAAAAAAGTATAGGGTACTACCCCCACTGTTCTGCATTTCTCTTTGACCCTACCCTTTCTTTCGATCCCCTCCCATCACACTGGTGGGGGGGTGGTGGGAGGAGGAAGACAATGAATCATATGCTCACTGTTCATGCTTATTCATGTTCATTCAATGTTTTAAAAATTGTATTGGGATAATGTTGGCTTACAACATTGTGATTGAGGATAGATTCCCACGCTTCAGATGAATGCCGCACCACATTGCCCACAAAAGTACCCCACATCCTCCACCACAGTCCACTAGACACTTTTATTCAATGTACTTTCAGTGAGATTTCTGCTGAGCTCGTGGCAGCTAGCATATTTGGCGATGGCTCCAAGCTCAGGCTGGCAGGTCAGACAGAAACTAGGGCAAGCCCCCCGAGAGTGAGAAGTGTAGCAGTAGAAGCATAGTGGGGCCCCCAGGGACTAGCTCAGCATCCAATTCCCCAACTGCTTCTGCCCTGCCGGGCCCGGCGCAGGGGCCTGCCTCCCGATGGTGAGTCCTTGTGGTAGGCAACACTTCCCTCACTAGAGAACACACTTGTTTCTTTAACGACAGACTTTACATGCTATTCGAAATAGTAAAGAAGCAAAACCAGAAAACCAAAGTGTGTGCCAGCCTTGGTGAGCGCCCTTTCTCTGCTCCCACTGCCCTGAGGTGGCAGCCTCCGCTCACATCGTAACCCCACCTGTCCACCTGCCAAGGTAACACATCTGTCCACCTGCCAAGGCCGCGCCCCAGGATTCCTTCCCGGGGCCCTGGCTTCCCACACCAGCGAGACCCTGTCCCCGCCTCTCTTCTGCCTCAGCTCACCTTGTTCACACGCGTGGCAATAACTGTAAACCTTAGCTGGCATCTGGTGACAACCTAAATGGCACAGCTTGAAGGGATTATGTGCAGGTTCAGAATCAATGTCCCCCGGTGCCCAGGCGCTGTCCTCAGTACTCCCCAAGTTCATTCACTTAATCCCCTCAACATGAGCCAGGTAGAGAAGTAGCCCAGAGAGGAAACCAAGTCACAGCAACGTTGTGTAACCTCCCCCACCCCAACCCCATCCCTAGCAAATGGCGAGAGAGGGTTAACCGCACAACAGGCTCTCAGCCTCTGCCCAGGCTGGAATGACAGATGGGAGGTGACAGCGGCAGGTTCACCTCTTCACTCCCTAACTTACAAGTGTGGCGCCGGGTTGGGAGTTTAACAGTAGCTTGGAGGACAGAGACCTAAGAGGTGAGTGCCTCCCTGGCCTCAGAGCCCATGGGAATACCGATGAACCTGGCAGCTGTGCACCTCGCTCCCCTCCCCCCCCCCCACGCGCCCGCCCCAGCTGCGCTAGTCCCTTGCTGGGGCCGCGGGGGCAGAGGAAGAATCCCAGGCTGGACTGGACCTAAAGTAACTGCGGCATCTGCGAAGATCACGAGTGGATGGGAGAGCCGAGGCTGGTGTCTTGGGGCCAGCGTGCAGGCGAGGGAGACCAGCAGTGGCTCCCTGACAGTGGAGAGGCGGGTGGCATGGTGACCCCGTGCAGGACTCCTCCGGGGGCTGGGCAGGCGCGGCAGCTCTAGAGTAATTGCTCAGGGGAGGCTCAATTGCTATTTCTGTTCATGAGTCTTTTTTCCCAGGTTATATTTGTCTTTTAAAAAGGTACAAGATTTACACAAATTTCTATTTTGTGGGCCTTTTTCTTTTTTCTAACTCTCACACGGAAGGGGCACTTGAACTTCTAAATTTCAGAATTAGTAGAAAGGGTGTTTTTGAGACAGGGGTGGAAAAGCAGGAAAAGGAAGAGGCGAATGGGCAGCTGGAATTTTGAATGATGATGAGGACGAGGATGGTAGGGGTTCTGGGGTGAGGGCGGGATTCAGTGTCAGCGTCCTGGGCTGACCCACTGGTCAGAGTAGAGGCAGAAGCGGAGGCCACGGCGCTGGAGTGTGGAAGGCCAGGGCAGGGCAGGAGCGCTGGAAAGCTTCTGTAAGAAAATGTATTTTTAATCCCAAATGGATGCTGACAAAGGAATTTTTAGAACACAAACCATTCCTAAGGACCATCTACCCCACTTTATTAACCAAAAGCCTGTAATTAAAGGCAACTAGAGAAAAATAATCCAGGAGTAACATGGCCTTTAGAGTTAGGCTTTGATAAAAATCTCAGGTCTACTCATCAGCAGTGCGAGGCTGGATCTGTTTCCTGTCCTCTCCGGTCTCGGTCTCACCTGTAGGATGACGGGGAAGAGGGAACCTACAACGTTGAGGGAGAAACGAAACTATGCCTTGTACGCAGCTAAGCGCGCGAGTGTAATAAAGAGGGGTTCTGCTCAAAGTCCTGTCTGCATAGTGGTGCCTGCTTCTTCCCACTCTGAAGTGAGGGGTGGGGGAAGGAAGGCAGGTCCCAATGACACATCCCGTCTGATAAATGTGCCAGATTTACAGAGGGCACAAAAGAACAGATTTGTTCAGATTTAGGGTGCAATCAGCTGGACAAAGTCAGGCTGCCAAGAAAGAGGAGGTGGAGGGGTGTTTTGGGGATGCTCCAGCTGTGCAGCCTGACCTCCTCTCCAGGGAGATGGTGCTGTGCAGAGAAGTGCCTTCAGTTCCCCTGGGCTCCATAGACTGCTGTGGATTGGTTCCATCTCCAGAGCTCTGCCCGTTTCCTGCCCGCTTCGGTGCACACTGGAGGGTGCACCCATTTCTGCCCCCTGGAGGTGCACCCTCACAGCTCCTCTCACCTGCCCCAGGTCAGGTCTCACCACTCAGAAGCTGCACCCACTTGGCTCTCAGCCCCTAGACGCACTGTTGGGAGCGAGCACTCCCTCCCCCACGGTGCTGGGGCCCAGCTCTGGTCCTCCCTTTGCTACTCACTGAGCTCCCAACGGCTGACTGGGGCTTGGTTTTGTCCCCTCCCGTAGCTCTAGGACAGGCCTGGTACCCCAATGGTGCTCCATAAATATCTGGGGCCCCGGGCTCTTTGAAGTGTATCCACAGCAGCACCCCCTGCATGCAGCTGGGCCACCTCCACCTTGCCAACCCTGCTCCCTTCTGTTCTTTCCTCTTTGGCACTTGCCTGTCCACATTAAAATAACAAGGCACACAAATTTCCCCCTTTAAATCTTCAGAAATAGTAAGGAGTGTAAATATGACAGTTTTCACATTCTCAAATAATTCTCCCATGATTCAATAAAGCAGAAAAAGGATGCAAAAGTCAGAATTGGATATAGAATTCAGATTTTTTTCTTTCAAAGACACATTTTATACAACTTCCAACATTTATACTTTCAAACAAACTGAGCAGAAAATACACTGAATGCTAAAAAAAATCAAAACAGAAGTAATACAATTTTAATTTCATTATTTTAAAATACAGAAACTGGAAAGTAAGAAATACCAAATACAACTTTAAACAAGTCACTTGTCCTCCCCTATAGGAACCAACATAAGCTACTTAAAGACTTACAAATTTAAAACAGAAACAAAATAAATACTGTACACTTTCCCTGCCTGCAGGCAAAAGATGGGAAATACTGTTATGAATTGAAAAAAATGCTCTTAAAGCTTCAGCATCCCACTTCCCAGCCACACCCCACTCCGCAGGCACACGGCGTGCTCCGTCCCCACAGGACACACGCGCGTGCACGCACCTGACTGCCTACACAAACAGACGAGACTACGCCGTGGACACCCCGACGAGAAAGAAGAGCGGGCACCTTGGACCATGGGCACGACAATCAGTTAAGGAAAGTCAGTCTGGCTAGCAAAACTTCACTACAAAACTAGTAAATACCATTGCCAACGACTGTCCCCTTTTCAAATTTCACAGATTAAAACCCCTAAAACCAATCCTACCCCTCCCCAGCACCACCCTCTACTCTCCACCCCCCCCCCAAAAAAAAAAAACACAAACCTGCTGAAGCACTGGCAAAGTCAGACATTTCACAGTAAATGTGAAAATTCTTATTATATAATCTCTTAAAATGAACCTTTTCACCCTCTTTCCACAGCATGAAACTGTTATGGCTTAATTTATAGTAAAAGTAGAAAAGTCTTTTCCGAAGGAAACAGCCCGCAAGGACCCGCGCGCGCTTCCTGGTCAGTGCTCTTTCATACGTAACAACTGTGTGACGTGCTTGTGCAGTCAGAAGCTGTTTTTGGAGAAACTGAGGTTATAGCTTTGATTCAGTCTAACCATCACTGTAAGGCCCTTAGTTTGGTTTAGGTTTCTTTTGCAAGATAAATAACCTTGGGGTTCACTTAGCAAGTTACACCTCAGGTCCCTGACTATAATGTGGAAGTTCTATGTATGCTTTGTAAAAATAAAAGGTTACTTAATGCATCTTCGAGGGAAGAAATGAGTCTAGGCAAGGAACCAACTCCTCATTATAGATTATGCTTAAATCTGGTAACTGTTACCAACCAAAGCTATGGAAGAGTATGGCTGGGTTACTTTATTCCTGCAAAATATATATTCCAGCACTTATGATTATTGTTTTGGTGAAAAATCTTGGTTGATATTTTGAAAAGGAAATGGTCAAAATAACACTGGGTGGAGGCAAAGGTTATCTTTGTGATTAAGTTCCATCTAGGATTGCTTTCTGAAATAAAGAAAAGTGAACTCACGATGTCACAGGTCTTGCATAGGTAAACTACTTGGAGGTCAAGGCTACGTAGTAGCAAGGGTTTATTAGTGAAATAGTGCAGAGCAGATAAACTTGTTGGAAGAATCACTGAATACAGTTTCAAATGGTTTTTAACAAAAAACCTGAACATCGCATTTGTGAAGATGAAGCTTTAGGATACTTGAAGGGGCACCAGGTGTGAGCGGGAGGCTCTAAGGGGCAGAAGACAGGTAAAGGAGTAGCACAGCATAAGAGCACTGTCAATCACAATAGGCTAAATGCTTTGGAAGTAGACATTTGTTCTTAATGACCTTAATTGAAAAATTTATATAGGCAAGGAGTATCAACTATTTTAATTATGGCATGACGCTCACTGAAAAGCAAATTAAAATAAAGGGAGGGTTTTTGGTAAGGCTACAGCATTCAAGTTCCATCACGCTCAACAGCAGTGTAGTGAGTCTACTACTTCTTCCCTCTCTCCTCCCAGCTGCTAGAGTAAGCACATCAACATCCTTGGCACGGCCAGAGGTTGCGCGCACCACAGACCAGGGGCTTTCGAGGAAGCAAGGTGTGAGGGGCTGGATCCACTGCCACCCCAGGGAAGCCCTGCCTGGGCTTCACCTGGCTCCTTTATTTACTGGCGTCACTCTCTTCTCAGCTAAAGATCTTACACTCAACCTTCTCAAGATCACTTTAGATGACGGTCCAAGAGCATCCAAAAATGATTGGCCATCTTTAGCTTCTCTTGTTTAATGAGAACCGTGGATTTTTATTTAAAAAGTCAGATTTGTATTATAAACCCCTGGTCTTTTAATGTTAAATCATAAAATGTTTCTACCTGCAACATTTATTTCTGGCAATAGTGTACCGGGCCACATGCTTATTCACCCATTCTTCGTCTTATCATTAAAGAGTATCTCTCAAAAAGAGGGGAATTTTCTTTGGAAGATGTCAAGGCTCCTTCCTGACACTTCCTACAGCAGCCTCTCTCTTCCCCGAACAAGTTGTTGAAAGCCAGCCCTGCACTGTCTACAGTGGGTGAATCCCATCTTTCTGAACATCTTTCCCACCCCCAATCAGGTCCAAGGGTGTTTACTAGATCATTTAAATTCCACGGCTTTGTTTATCTTTATCTAGTGCTTTAAGTGTACACAGACTCAGCAGGGCAGTATTGTCCTAGTTCCTTTTTGAGAAAAACCTAAAACTATCTTTCCATTATCTAAAATCATCTTAATGATGAGGGGTAAACAGTCTCACTCTTATCCACAAACTTTCTTTTTTCTTGTAATCAAGCACTGGTTCTGATTTTAATTCAGCACCTTATTATGAGAGCTTCCAGGCAGTATGCTCTGGGCATATATTTGATATGAAACAAGTTTTATGTGTAACAGCAGTTTTCATTTAAAAATGCATATACCTGTACATTCATTATTAGTTTTAACTTGAATAATGACAGATTCTCAGCAAGTATGAAGTGTTAGTAGATTAAAGAGTGCTTCCTGTTTTTCTTAAACACATTTTTATCCAAATTTACAATTGAGAAAACTAAGACTCAGGAGAATAAGCGACTTATTTAAGGTCACAAGTTGATAAGCAAATGGTCAAAACCCAGGTTTTCTGCTCCCTCCCCTACTAACAACACTCCTTTAAAATGTTTTTAAATTTTTAAAATAAAAGCAAATTTTTTTCACTTCCACTTCTATAGTTGTATAGTAGGTTGAGGCTAATAAAGTTATACTGCTTTCTTTATAAATGGGACCTCTCGTTTGAGTCTGTGTAGGCTGTAGTCGTGAGATAATACTGCTTATTTCCTGGAGAAGACGCCTCCAAGGGCAGAGACGACAGCATCAACTTTATATTCCCCACAGAACTAAGTAGTGCTTGACTGCACAGTAGATGCTGATCTCATATGAATAAATACAGTAGAGTTCATTAAAAAGGCAATAATTAGCATTATTAAAAAATAGAATAGTATTCAAGCTCAGTATTTAAGTGGTGATAATGACGGGGTAGTTTTCTCTCTGTTTATGAATTTGCTCAGAATTTAAAAATTTAGACTTTTAAAAGTTAACTGATGCTTATGAAGTTCAGGCTACTGAACTTGTATAAACTGCTACTTTGGCCGGCTTACATTATTAATCAATACTGGACACTGACAGCATAATAAGACATTGTTAGTTGAAGTACAGGGGATCCCTGTTAACAGTCACTTGTTTGCATTGATATAGGAAGATGATTATGTATTACTACAACTAAAATTCATTCATTCATTCCTAACTGTTTTACATATTTGTAATTGCTTATAACTAGCTAAATGCCTATGTTACTGTCTTCCTCTCTATAGTGTCTGGACCGCAGTATTGTTTGAGCGACTGAGGGAAAGAGGAACAGTGTCTCTTACGGTTGAGTTCCAGATACTGGCTGCAGCTTCCTCAAAGTCCAGTCACTTCTGTGAGATAAGAGAAGCACAACTTTATAAAAGCAACTTTATAAGAGGTTTGAGCAGGATAAATAGCTAAATTTTCACCAATTCAAAAAAGATACATGTATTGTGTTTTAGTGGTTTTATCACCTTATTGAAAGTTTTTCTTAACTTAGTTAATGGGCTAAAAAAGAGAATCCACAGTACCTTTCGCTTAGAAGTTCTACATACTGGCTCCTTAAAATTAGCATTTACTGGCCTAAGTACACAGGGTGGATATTGGACACAATTTTAATTCATAAAAATATATTGTTTTATTTAAATCTTTGGGCTAAAGGGGGAAAGTCAGGAAATTAAAAAAACTTACGAGCTGTGAAAAATGTAAAGAAAACAAAAAAACACAGATCATGATGTTGCTGGAAAAAGAAATTATAATTCTTCTTTTTTTTTAGTAATTCATAGATCTTTAACCAAAACCAAAATGTGTACTATAACACTAAAGTGGTATCTACAGGAAACCAAAATATCATAGTAATATATTGTGTGGGGAAGGTGGGAAAATCAGTCAAACCCAAAATTTTTAACATCTTGAGATCTGATAAGCAACTGATGACTGTACGCCCTTAAATAGTTAGAGTTTAAGCAGCCATTTATAGACATTTAATATTCCATAAAATTCCTCCTGACACCCAGCTAAGATCCCGACTTTAGTTGAGTCACTGGGACAAAAAAGGCTTAATTCATAAGCTATTTCGTATTTATTCCATGGAATATTGGAATGGAGAGAGAGTAAGAAATATTTCTTTGAAAATACACATCTGAATGCAACCATGAAAGATCATTCCACACTCAACTGATACTGAATATGGAGGGGAAAGGCCTGCTACCTTGCTGAGTAAAAAAAAGACAGATCTGTGATACGGTCATATTTCTTCACCATAAAAATAAATTTTATCCTATTTGTCTATATTTTCTTTATAGGATCTGTAAAAAATGCTCTATTATCAGAATTGGGACTATCTCCACCCCCTTCCACAAAATCACTCATGTTTATGCTATGGACAGGGGGAAGGGAAGGAAAAATAGAAGCTATTATGAGCAACTGAAAACTGGCATTTAGTTAAAAATGTGCATAAAGGAGATAAATGAATCCATAAAGCTCAACCAGATACTTAACCTCAATATGCACTGGTTAAGTCAGGACAGATGGAAGAAACCGCAAGAAGCACCCATTTTACTCCAAATTCATATCTTAATTCTTTAGAAGGTTAAGAAATAAAAAACTAAACACACGTGCACACACGCACACACACACACCCAAAAGATCTACTCCAACATGCTTGCTTCTATACAACTTAATATAGTATAGTCTTATTATATTACGGCTTATTATGCAGATTTGAATATACTACATCAAACCATATTCTCCAATAAATCACAGAATAAAAGCGTCATAAAATATACCCTCTGTGGCAGGCATCAGCCGTGCCCTCCAACACCAGCAGTACGAAGAAGGCCCTCTGTAGTTACAAATGTATTTGAAAAACTACAAACATGACAATTTAACCAAACTGATAATACTTTTCCCACAAGTAGGAAAAAGATATTAAAGCTGTTCTCTTTGGGACCCAGATATCACCAGCAAAAATGAAAATGCAAGAAGCCTATTTTTATATTGAGAAGAAAATTGCCATGTCAAATGAAATGAGAAATGGAGGATCGTTTATGTACTTCTTATACATTGGCTATGAAAGTGTTTCCCTGCAAAGAGAAGAGTTTTGTAATATCATCACAAACAGATGGGGAGCGCAGAGGGAGGTGGGATATAAAATAATCAACCTGGATAACAGTATGCACCTTGGATGTTAGCAAAAGCGAAGCTAATAGCTTATAAAAAACACATGAAATATATAAAATAAAATGATTTTCATATACATCTTAATTTAAAATAATTAATGCATCAAATCCCTGTTTAAGACTTTAACCTGAATATCAAATTTAAGAGTCCAGACTAGTTACTGTTACCGTGGCTCTCCCCCACATGTAACACACACACTATCAAAAATAATTTAAAAAACCTTCACATTCTTAAATCTAAATTAGTGAGATATTTCTCCAGAAATCTTCCAAATAAATAGCTTTAAAAAAGAAAGAATTTAAAAGCTGTTAACTTTAAAAAAAATCTGTTAAATAAATTATTGATAATTCTTTACCCTACCACTGAAAATAAATCAAGACACTACCAACAACAAAATGAAATTCAAGCCCTGACAAGAGACCCTTTCCAGTTCAAGGTCTCCTTTTAAGGTTCTACCCTCCTTCGTCCTCTCCCACCAGGTCCCAAATGGTTATTGCTGAGTGGGTGTGGCACAGTGAAAATGCAGCATCGGGTTCATTTTGTTCTTCGGGCAGTGTTCCCTACTGTACATGCAAACTGCTTCAGTGGGGCACGCTGGGGCTCCAGGCTCCTGCATCCCCAAAACTGGTCTCCAAAGGGAAGAGATGCCACAACAGCAGCTCCGTCACACAAAGAAACGTGCGTGACCATTTCTGTTCAACTTTAGGATCTTGCCGAGACGTTGCTTGGCTGTTGCCATTCCTTTTTTTGGACGTTTACCTATAAAACATCAACAACGGTGTAAGTAATCATGAAAAGCACACTTGCCAGAGGTGCCTGGGAAAGTTAACAGGAAAGCTCTCTGATGAGAAGTTGCTCTGCACGCTCTCTGGTGAGAAGTTGCTCACACTTCTGGACAGCTACTGTTTACAACCCTTCCAGCTGGTCACTCGGGGGATAAAGGCCAACCTCGACGAGGCTGGAAGACCCTCCCAGTCTGACCCTGCCCCTCTCCTGAGCATGAGCACTTACTATACCCTGCACCACTCTGCGCTTCAGCAACAGAACAGTTCACGAAACATCCCTCCTACTGCATCTCACTTGACCCCCAGGGGTCACAGGATCAGCTGTGCCTTCCCTGCTCTCTACTCTGTTACTCCCCCAAATCAATACAGCTAAGCCCTGATCACCCTTTTCAGGATCGACCTCCTCCTCCAGAAAGCCACTCCTGAGCCTCAGGGTTGACTTGGGTATCCTCGTACTCTGTCCCACCATACCTTGGACATATGTCATCAAGCTGTCCACCATGCATCAGGCTGTGAGCAACTTGAGTGCAGAGACAATGTTTACCTAAACTGCCACTATCTCCATTATGCACACTCAGAAATATACTGAACCTACAAATGTATGCAAGTCACCTTTTGTTGCCTGGTTGCTGATAGGTGGTGGGTTTGATGCAGGTCTCTTGGTGGGGTGAAGAGGCACTGAGAAGGAAGTTTCACCAACTGGCCTTTCCGGGCTCACTCCGCCATCACTCATCTGGCATGCCCCTGCACTCAAGCTTGAATTCTGCATATATTTTCCATTCTGAAGGCTTGAGGCACTGCTGTCCACAGAATTCCTACTTTGGACCTTCTGAATGACTTCTGATGAACCTTCTTTTTTGATGTATTTCTGGCCTCTACTTAGATCCTAAAGAAAAGGGAAGGAAATAAGCCTGAATTTTCAGGGCTCCTTAAGATCAATGAGGTCTTCAGCCTCTCTCTGAATTAGCAAGTCCAGAGGGAGAAGAAAAAGGATGTAGCATTTTGCTTTCCTTAAACTGTAGTAGCTACAGAAGACTGCCCTTCATGACAGTTATCTCATTCCAAAGTCTAACAGCTCTGAAGGGATCAAGTCTTGAAGTTGCATCACAGCTTAAATCAAGAAGAAAACATTACATTGTCTGAAATAGGGTGCAGGACGAGAGAAAGAATATGACTTAAGCCATCCTGAACTCACGGAGTGTGTGCCATGTGGAAGGACCACAACATGAATTCAAAATCTTGTATTAAATAAGTGAATTACAAAAGTTAAGGGATTTCTAATTTGACTTTTGACTACTGTACTCACATACACTGCCTGAAAGAAATAACTTGGCTCTTACTGTAAAAGCAATTAGAAAACACAAGTATGCCAAAAGAAGAAAAACCACCCATAATTCCACAATTCAGAGGACATTTGGGGCGGAGAGGGTAGATCCCACCCTGCCATGTAAGAACTTTGATTCTTTCTCTGGTTGTCATTTTCCAGGATTTGCAACAAAAGGTAGTATTGTTTTCCTTTTTCAGTGGTTTCTTCAAAAAGCTATTTAGGTTCAGTTTATGTGGTGTAAGCACGGACAACCTGCGGCCCTAACGCATCAGTTCTTCTCTTACAGCAGGGTTCGGATTCAGGAGTCAGGGAGTGCTGATAACTAGGTGCAGTTAAAAAAGAAAGCAAAGGCAGGACCTCCCCTGGTGGCGCAGTGGTTGAGCACTGGGTTGCAAGGCTGCCCGCTGCCCCTGCAGCGCAATCCCCGGCCACCAGCGAGGGTCCCACAAAAAAAAAAAAAAAAAAACAAACCCCAAAAGCAGAGTTAATGCCCATTCTAAATCTCCTTTTAATGCTTCAAACTGTGCATATACCTGAAGATTAAATCTGGAAGTTGTATCAAATTGTTTCATCCAGGAAGAATTCCTCAAGTCTTGATCTTCAGTCTTAACATGGTATCCTAAAGAGAAGTTTCCATTAAATTATCTTCACACAAACGTGAACTTAAAGAACAAAGTTAGCCCAATGTTTAAAATTGAAAGCAAATTTATGCTGCTATTAAAAAATGAATACGCTAACTCTTTACATATTTAATCATACATCTTCACCATACTCAAACCCTTTCCCTCTCACTAACAGAATAGTCACCAGCTCACAATTTCACGTTAAATTTTTCACTTCGCTTAAAGACTGTCTTCGTATGACGGGTTTTGTGCCAGATGTCGATAGATCTAGCATCAAATTCTACAGCCATCTGTTGCAGATGTAAAATCAAATACAATACACTAGCCATAAAAATGGATTATGTTGCTTGAATTTTGCAATAGTTCAATAGAAACTTTGTCAAGGGATCGAGAAGATTATGGGGAAGACAGAATGGACAGATAAGACAATTTGAGTTCTTCCATTACCAATGCATCTTTGGTAAGTTATTTTAAAAAATCTCTCTAAACCTCAGCTTCTACTAACACAAGCAAATATTTTGAGATCAGATACCTGTATTCAAATGCTAACACCTTTGAATGATAGTTATGTATGGGCACATTAAATTCACTAAGTCTTATTTCTTTCATTTGTAAGAGTTATGTTACCTACAACAAAGTGTTGTTTCATGAATTAAGTGGAATGCATGTCAGACTCCTGGCTCATAGCTGACACTTAAATGGGTGAGAATGAACACACTGCTACAAAACGCATGTGGTTTTAACATACTATCAGCTTTCCCCCAATCCTTCTCAGACTTTAAGGGAAACAAATTTTTTCCCTAAAGGCAGACAATACTACACTATATAGCATTGCTGATATTACCATCGCGTCTTCTCTCTTTCCTGCCACTTTCTTTTCAAGTAGGAGAGAGAATAATCTCAATCAGAAACAGTTCAAAACGTGTTTCCCTCCCCTACCCCATGAATGGAAAAGGGTAGATTGTCCAATCTTAGCCAAACATGTAGATACCAAGACATTCCTTATAACTCTGAGCAACTCGTGATAGGGAAATATGACTATCCTGCAGCAGCAGCAGAATCACGCAGCAAAAACAATTCCACACCCAGTTCATTTACATTTTGTGTTTATACATTTGGATCACACGTGATCTGGCAACATTCTGTACTGGGGGCGGGGGCGGGTGGCAGCAATACTTAAGCACCACTTCTAACTAAAGCTGTGCAATAAACAGCAGCGGACAAGGATTACAGAGCTATCAGCTGGGGCTCACGTGTTACTCTTCAGAGACTGATAACTTATGCTTCTTACCAGATTCTACTGGCTTATCACAGCGATACAACTGCCTAGCTTCATGGTCACTGCTGTGGCAGCTGCCGGGGTCCTGGACAGAGGGCCTGTCGCCACTGCGGTCTGTGCTTTGTACCGGCCTCTGTAAACACGTGGAATAGTGCAACCCTGCCATAGACAGCATGCCCTGAATTGCTTCTTCTTCTGTGCTCGTCGAGGTAGGACATTCCCTGAGGAGATCATCAAAGAAGACAAGAGTTCATTTAATGAAATTTTTGGTCAAATTTTAAAACTAAACAAAGTTTTCATATCACTTGCATCACAGTGTAATAAGACAACTACCATCAGCAAGCCTACCTTTTAACTGGAATTTCACTTCTAGATGGCTTCTGGCTCTTTTGAAGGAAGTTCCTCATTACATTAGATTCCTCCTTAAAGTTTGATGTTATTTCTTGTTTCTTTTCATCACCTGAACTTTCAGACTCTTCAGTGGCAAAATTATTTTTCTGAGATAAAAAAATAAGGGAAGCAAACTTATATGATATCTGACCAAGTCTGTGCAAACAAACCAAAACACCTGGAATTATCATGAAATTCCTTCTGTATTTCATGTGAAAAGCTCCAATATAATTCCTTAGGAAAAGACACACTGTACAGGTTTTCTTCAAGGTAAAATGACATATAATCTATGAGAAATATGTGAAATGCAAGAATGGTATCTCCCTCCACCCTTTCCAAAAGGGGGCAAAGACTATGTTTATCAATGTAAAGAGTCACATGAGGGGATGGGGGTGTGGGGGTGTGTGTGTGTGTGTACATATACACCACTCCAAGGAAGACCCTGTGTATACAGTCAGGAAAAGATTTGAGAGCAGGTGTTATTCACTTTCCTCCTACGTGAAAATAAGTAATATTCGTCTTTCCGTTAAATGATGTGTAGGTCACGGCATTTGGGACCTACCAGTGCAGTGCAATCAGGTCCAGAGTCTTCTGAATCAGAAATGTCCGAATATTCTGATGATCGATTCCTGAGTTCTGACTTCACACTTGTAAAAAACCCTTGAAGGGAAAGAGAGGAAAATGAAAGCCATTAGAATGAACCAAGTCCAGCATCTTGACGGGTTCCGAAGGCCTTTGTGCTGCTTCTATCCACTTCACTACGTCACCCCCTGGGACTTTCTCCCTAATTGAGCAAGATGCGGATTGAAGAATATTCTGAAGATACTTGGTGTTTCTTGAACACAATTATATATCCCCTAGGAGGTGGGCTTATAGTTTTTTCCAGAAAAAAAAAAACCCCAACACTGAAATTCAAGCTGTTTTTCAATTTCTCTTTTTGCATTAGAAAGCAAGGACAGCAAAAAGATAATGCCCTTAACCCTAAAAGCATTTCTGTTGACATGAGTCCACAAGTGCTCTGTGGACCCCTGAATGAGCTGCCTTCCTCCCAGCCTGGGAGCAAAGGCAGCCACTGATGGCAGTGACACCAGAGTTATGGAGAATTAGCTGGAATTGAGGTATTTAACATGGATTAAGTAATGTTTATTATCTGGACATACACTTGTCAGGTTCCAAAAAACTACTTTTGAAATATGGAGACCCTGAAAAATGTTGAGAAATTAAGAATTCATTCAAAGAAGAAAGATCTCAAGGAAGAGGACATGCTACTACTGTCTGTTACAATGAGGGAAATCAACTAATAACTAAGTAGAGGTCTCCTCAGCAGACAATAAATAAAACATTACATGGATTGCTAATAGATTCAGGTCATTTCTATGAACATTTAATTCTGAAAATCATGTACACATTAGTTAAAATCATTTGTGAAATTGCATTAAACTGTCAATTGTTTCATTATTTGAAGTACAGGCACATAAAATGCATGTGCTTTCACATGATTCCATCAAGAACTGTCACTAGACAAGGGTGTCAGTGACCCACACACACCCTCACCTTTAAAGAGTAACCTCTCCCCTGACTATCTCCCTCATCTGGCATTCAACGTCTGCATTTTTCTGGTAGAAAAACTACTTAGAAATAGTTGAGGTTTCTCACAAGTATTAGGTACACAAGAAATTTCAATTCAACAACAAATGTAAGAACTTTAGAATCAAAAGTTAATGTACAGGCCTTTAAAACAACCGTTGAAAATTCATATGGAATCACAAGAGACCCTGAACAGCCAAAGCTCTCCTGACTAAAAAGGGAGTGAAAGGGGGTGCTGCACTTCCAGACTTCAACCTATACTACAAAGCCATAATAAAAACAGCATGGTACTGGAACAAAAACAGACACAAACACTAAAGGAATAGAACTGAGAACCCAGAAATAAAACCACACAGATACGTTCAACTAATCTATGACAAAGGAATAGAGAATATACACTGGAATGAGGGATGTCTCTTCAACAAATGTTGCTGGGAAAATTTACTGCCACATGCAAAAGAATGAAGCTAGACTGCCATCGTACCCATGCACAAAAATCAAATCACAATGGATAAAAGACTTGGATATAAGACCCAAAACTATGAAATATATAGAAGGAAACATAGCCAAAACACTCCCTGACATAAACTTCAGAAACACCTTTGAGAATTCGTCTTCAGAATCAAGGAAAACAAGGGGATTTAACAGCTGGGGCTATACATATAAACTAAAAAGTCAGAGACAAAACAAAGAGATATCCCACTGAAAGGGAGAAAATATTTGCACACTATACATCTGATAAGGGGCTGATACCAAAGATATAAAAAGAGCTCATGTAACTCAACAAAACAAATTAAACAACCCAATAAAAAAACAGGCAGAAAAGCAGAAGAAATGCAAATGGCCAAAGGCATATGAAACAAAGTCTATCACCACTTATTATCAGGGAAATGCAAATCAAAACCACAATGAAATACCACCTCACACCTGTGAGAATGGGCCATATTAATAAAACCAGAAACAGCAAATGCTGGCGAGGATGTGGAGAAAAAGGACTCCTCTTACACTGCTGGTGGGAATGCAAACTAGTCCAGCCCCTATGTAAAGCTGTGTGGAGGTTCCTCAAAATACTAGAAATGGACCTGCCATATGACTCAGCTATTCCAATCTTAAGAATCTACCCAAAGAACACAAAAACACTAATTCCAAAGGAAACCTGCACTCCTATGTTTATGGAAGCACTATTTACAATAGCCAAGATATGGAAACAACCTACATGCCCCAAAACAGAGACCATGTGGTATATATACACAATGAAATGCTACTCAGTGATCAAAAATAGATGAACTCATGCCATTTGCAGCAACATGGATGGAGCTGGAAGGGTTGATGGTAACTGAAATAAGTCAGAAGGAAAAAGATAAATATTGGATGGCTTCACTTATATGTAGAATATGGAAAAACCAAACAAAGGGTCAAAGCCAAAGCTTGAAAGCTGACCATAGATATGCGGTACCATGAAGGGAGGGGAAGGTGTGAAAACAGGGGTGGGGTAAGAGTGTAGGGAATATGGTGATGAACTATGGATGCTCCAGTGATGAGAGAAATCATGCACTGCCCAAAAATTAAATAAAAAAATTAATCTGTAGTCCTGAAAGGTTACAGAAGTTTTCATCGATCATGCAAATTTGTCTATATGAGTTTTAGGATGCCTTGAAGAAGACAAAATATAAATTGGAGGGCCTCCCCGGTGGCGCAGCGGTTGAGCGCTGGGTTGCGAAGCTGCCCGCAGCCTCTGCAGCGCCGGTTCCATCCCCGGCTGTTCCCTGGCCACCAGAGGAGGGTCCCGCATGGCGCACAGACTGCTCTAGCCGCCAGCTGCTCCCCTCAGCAGTGTACTTCGGTCCTTCTGCCTGCTCTGCTCCCCGCTCTGGCTCTGGTGAATTCTCTCACCCTCCCGCACTTCTGACTGTACCCAGTGCTTGTATAAATAAATAAATAAATAAATCTTTAAAAAAAAGAAAAAAAAAAGACTAAGATTATATATATATATATATATATATAAATTGGAGACAGATTTTCAGATATTTTGTTTAAAATTCTCTGAATTAGGGCCTCCCTGGTGGCGCAGCGGTTGAGTGCTGGGCTGCAAAGCTGCCTGCAGCCTCTGCAGTGCTGGTTTGATCCCCGGTGGGTCGGCGAGGGTCCCATATGGCGCGCAGACCTCTCCTGCCGCACCCACTGCTCCCCTCAGCAGTGTATTTCATCAGTCTGCCTGCTCTGCTCCCTGCTCTGGCTCTGGTGAATTCTCTCACCCTCCCGAGCTTCTGACTGTACCCAGTGTTTGTATAAATAAATAAATAAATCATTAAAAAACAAAAACAAAACAAACAAACAAAAAAAAAACCAAAAAAAAAAAAAAAGCAACCATGTGCTCTCAGATTGCAATTCTGATTCTTAGCATTACATTAAGAATTGAATGCAGATAAATGTCTAAGTGTACAAATCCAAATAAAAGACCATTAAAACAAACATACTGTTTAGTGGTTTTTGCGAGTCTTCATTCTCCACACCCTCTATTCCTGAACTCTCTTCTATCTTCATTTTTGCTTTTTTGGTTCTTCTCTTATCCTCTTCATTCTCACTATCTGCTGTATAAAGACTTTGATCTGCAAAGGGCTGTCTCTCATCTCTGTATACAAAAGGAAAAGCAACCAAGTCAGAAAAAGTGCAATGATGTGGCCAAACAGTATAACCCCCCACCACCCACTTACAGTCAGCTGCGCAACAGTGGGCACCGGGGATTCAATTAACAGAAGGGAACACTGAAAACTAATCAGTTTGATACTCTGATCTACTTTACGTACTTGATTATTCTTCCATTGGTCAGCAGTAATCGTAGATCATTATCTTTCGCTCTCCATTCCGGTACCGTGGAAGATGGCTGGAGATGTTTGTTGAATTTTCCATTCAGTTTAGAGCTCAAGACATCCTTCAAGTATAAAAACAGAACTTACTTGACTCCACCCTCAAAACACACCTGCTTCAGTATAAGACTACAGCGCACCGCCACCATCCCCTCTGCCCTCTAAAAAGCTGCCGGGCGAGGGGTGCACAGTGGGGTGACATGAAAACTAAATGGCTTCTAAAACCAAAGCAGGACATGGTTCACCTGTCTGCAGCCCGCTAACAATGAAACACGTAGTAGAGTAGAACGCAAGATTTGCATAAAGCAAATCCACAGACATTCCTCGCTGGCAGAAAGCTGGAGAAGCGCTGCCTGCATGTGTTTCTATCCTCTTTCCACTGCAGTGCTACCTGCTGGGTCCTTCCAGCCACCCTCTCCTTGACCTGATCCCTAGTCTTCCTAACAGGCGCTGTCAGCAACTTGTAGGTCACCACACTGCTCTCAGAGGGACAGAGGCTGCCTCGTTATACAGAAAGACACAGGGAGTTACTGGTTTTCATTATGTAAAGAATACTCCCTTTTGTAGTAAATTTTTTTCTTTAGTAATAAATAGAACTTTCACAATTAGGTAATTCACCTGGCTTGCTCTCGCTTCTGTCCACAATACTTTTCCTCAAATCTGTGGTTCCGGCTGACTTCTCATTATCTAAGCATCAGTTCACACGTCACCACCCTAGATAAGGCACCAGTCCTCCCAACTCCTTTACTCTATGGCTTCCTTCATAACACCTGTTTTCTGAAATCATAGTATTTTAATATGTCTCTGTCTCTCCACCCTTCTAACATGAACTAGGATGGACGTGATCTGAGGGTATTTTCTGGTATTTTCTCCGGAGCCTGCAGGAGCATGACACTGGATAAACACTAAGTGAGCCTATCAGTGTATGAAAGAGACTTATTCCTTTGCTTCTACACAGATGCCTAGAACAGGCATAAGTACTGTCTGGCCTCTAAAAACCTAAGCAAAGAATAAGGAGAATGGTCAGACTGTCCTCCTTTTGTGTTATCCTTTTATAGAACTTTCAGAAACAACCAAGCTTCCTTTTATGATCATGAACCCCAATACTTGCCTCTTCCCATGGACACATCTCCAACCTTCTGAGGACTTCCCTTGTATGAAGTTCAAGGATGTCCAGATTAGAAGGAGTTCGGACATTATGATCTCGGAGCTTCCTCATCTTCCGTCGGGAATGATACGGGGAAGTTGCTTCATTTGAGGATCGTGAAACTGGACACACAGTAGGAATTCCCTGAGATTTAACTGGTTTGCCATTTTCCTCCTTTAAGAATTAAATTTAGAGTATTTTGATGACAAGGCTATGGACATACCTAAGTAACCATTCATTAAAATATCAGTATTTATTTTAGAAAACAAAACCATTCAGTTTAATCTTATAAACAAAAAAGACCAAATCATAAGACCTGAGTCCCTTATTTCCCCCCACAGTAGCCTGTGAACATATTTGCTGACTTTCACTATCATTTTAAAGCTGTGCTATACCCCCTTTACAGACAGAGCACAATCTGTTGGCCTAATGCTCGTAGCTATTTAGGCTGCTCTCAGTTCTTTCCTAGGATGAACAGTTTCACGTACATATTTACGTAAGTCAGTACTTGTTTTTTAAGCCAAAGTCACACATTTATGTAGTTTTAAAAATTAAAACTCCATAAGCAAATCATGAAAAGTAATGGTCTACTCTTTCCCATCCTGATTCCCATTTTCCAGAAGCAACCACCTGCAAGTTTTCTATAATTGTATTAACATACACTTGACATAACTTTGTAGCACATAACCTGTATTTTCATATTCAGAGGGACCTATTGCCCATAAACCCTGAGCTTTTTGAAGGGTCTACTATCATTACTGGAAATAAATGGAATATGAAAGTTTTATTCTGTACTTTTTTATTTTTTTGTAATAACCTAAAGAACCTGAAATAGCCTGATAATACTCCTTTATTACTTCATTATGACACCATACTCTAAATCTCTCTCTAGGACTTTATAAGCCTGGAAACCTAAGAATTCTTCTAAAACATAGCTCATTCTACCTGTTTTCTAAGTGTAGCAGAGCCTTCAAATGTCTGTAGTGTAGCAGCAGATCCATTTGCTTCTCAAAGGAGATGGTAACCAAACATTCAGATGATAGTGTCTATTCTTACCTCTATTGCTCGAATTACTTTAGAAAGTTCTTTAATAAGATGTCCAGGTCTAACATTGTCTGGAATTTCAAAGGCATGTTCAGACACAAGCTGCATTTGGATTAATAAAGAAAAGAGCCAAAGTTACTTACACTTTAATATGTAAAAATAATTTCCTAAACCAACTTTGGGGTTGTCTTGGTTTTACAAACATAGCCGAATACTAGTAAATCAGCTCTCAAGGTTCATGTAATTGGGGTAAGACCTTCTAAGGAGCTCCTCAGTTACTTATAAATTCTCTTAGAAAGAGCTAAAGATGCATTTATCACACAGTCAATTTTGCTTTATATTGAGTAGCAATCTCATACTCTACATCTCCAAGCCGACCATAGTTCTAATGGCGCCACACAGTAGTAATTAATTTAGCTTGACATTAATTCATAATAAGCAAGGACATGGATGTATAAGAGGGAACACAGGCACTAAAACTATCTTAGTTTCTTGTGGGAAATCTAATTTGAAACATTTTTTATAAACTTTTCATAGTTAGAAGCAAAAGAGGAAAAAGATCCATGATTAGGGAAATAATTAATTGGTGAGTTACCATATCTGCAACTACTACCATTATTTATCATGTCTATGTCCAGATATTAATGTTTGTATCTAAGAACGTTCTGATTGTTTAATTGCACTCAACAAGTTTTTACTTTTGCTTCACATCCTTTTGTTGTCTTGCACACACTCTGTTAAAACAAACTAATAATAACAGTGACATTACGTGCCAGGCAAGTACCTGTTAAGTACTTTATGAGTGTTAGTGCATGTAATTCTTTCAACAACAACTATGACAGTGATACTACTATTATTCCCATTCTATAACCAAGGGAACAAAAACAGAGGTCGGGAAATTAGCCCAAGGTCACTGGTATATTAGTAACAAAGTCTAGAGTTGAATACAAACATCTGAGCCCACAAAGTCCATGCTCTTAACCACTAAGCAGGGTGTCCTCTCATCTCAGAGCAAAGTTAATAGTTCCAAGCATCATGCCTTTAAAAGTGAATGTAATGAGTTGTAATGTAATGAGTTGATAGTCTTTTTATCAATGAATTTTACTGTGCATCAAAATCACCTATGAAGTTTGTATAACAGAGAGGTTCAGATTCTATCCCAGATCTATTAAATCAAAATTTCTAGGGGAGGAGTCTGGTGATATTATTGTTAAAGAGCTCTAAAGGCAATTCTGATAAACACACCAATTTGAGAACCACTTGTCTAAAGCTTTCTATAGGAAATGAATTACATAATCCTTGCAATGTGTCTTTCATTTTGTTTTTACCTTGTTATATGGTTTTGTCATCTGGTTAGGCTTTTACTTGTCATCTAGATGATGATCTCTTTGGCAGTAGAGGTCATTGTTTTTACTTTCCTGAATGCTTCCACAGTACCTTGCTCAAGTGGGAATGTTGCGATAGTCAAGTGAAAGGGAGTATAAAATTATTAGGAAGGTAACCTATTAATCACTGTCTCCCAATAGCTCCTATTTTTCCTTTTTCCCCCCCAATATCCCTGAAGAGCAGGATTTTTATTTCAAGTGGATGGATATTTAAGAAATTAGTATGGAAATGTATTTTCATCACCTGACATATCTGTCATTTATTAAAAGTATATGAAATCCCGAAAGGGAAATAAAGATGACAAAATCCCTATTCTTTAAGAGCACATAAACCCAAAGAAGGGGACATGGATGTATTACCTAATAGACATGACTTTTAAGTCCACTGGCACAAGAAATGTATAATGGAAGCAGAAGGGAGGAACACATCAATTCTTAATAGAAATCTGAGATGATTTCTTAAAGGTGGTGAGATTCAAATGTAAACAACTAGACCACAATTTAGTAAAAACTGGAAGCTCCTGCTTGAACCTTGACCTCCTTTGCCTTCATTTTGACCTTAGTCCAGCAGGGGTAAAAGCATAGGCTTTGCTGCCACAAAGACCCAGCTTTAAGTCCTAGCTCCACCAGCAGCCTTGGGCAAATTACATAAAATTCTCTGAATCTTAGATTTCCTATATGTAAAATGAAGGTAACCACAGCACCCCAACCTCATATGGTAGCTTTGAGGATGAAATGAGATTACGGAGATAAAGCCTAAGAAGAATGATTAACACGCTATGAGAGCTCCAAGCCATTTATTATTATCTTCGATCTACATGTTCATTTCTTAGCCAATATCCTAGATATACTTGTATTATTTTTTTAATGAAAAATTATAGAAATACCTAGATACTTTACATTTTCAAATATGAATAGAAACTAGTACCTCTGATTTACCCTCTCTACTACCGCCAACTTATAAGTGCTGCCAAAACAGAGTAAGGGCTGGGCTTCCCTGGTGGTGCAAGGGGTTAAGTCTCAACACTATAAAGCTATCCACAGCAACTGCAGCACAAGTTCAATCCCTGGCCAGGGAGCTGACCTACATGGTGCAGCAGACCTCTCCTGCCTTGCCCACTGCTCCCCTCAGCAGTGTGTTTTAGTCAATCCGCCTGTTCTGCTTCCCACTGTCTCTGGTCAATCTTCTCACCCTCCCTGCACTTCTGGCTTACATCCCAGCTCTTGTATGCATAAATAAATAAATCTTTAAAAAAGAAACACAAAAAAATAGTGTAAGGTCTCTGTCTCCCTGGTCCTGCCATGAAAAACACGCCAGTTATTTCCTCAAAGAAAAGTACTTACTTCTTTTTTCATCCACAATTTTAAAGCAGCATGCAGTGCTTTCACTCCCTGCACTAGGTACGTCTGAGGCTGGAAACCATCTTCTCTCAGCTCTGCGGGAATGGAAGAAAAGCAGGGAAAGGAGTTAAAGCATTCTGGAGAAAAAAGATAATTAACTTTAGATTTTAAGTAACTGCCAAATAAAAACTCTAACTTGCGAAGGAAAGGGCAAAAGTGAAATAAGAAACAATTGACTGAAATGATAAGAAAGAAAAGGAATTACATTAAATGCATTTGCACTAAGTGCTCTGGTTCTGAGAATGCTGAAGACAGGTCAGAATGGATGAAGTCCCCCAAAATGGATAAAATTAAAGTACTTTAGTTTGTGACATAGGTGGTAAAACTGAAGGAGGATCATCTCGAAAGTCAGACAGTCCTGTCTCCAGAAGGGAAGGGGAAGGAAGGGCACCTCGCCCTCTCCAGGGAGGGAGTGATGGGAATGCCAACTGGGCCCTTCGAATGTGCTGGCAAGGCTGACCCTGATTACATTCGGTAGAAATGACTTAGGTGACAGCTGTATAAACTGTAAAGAATCTATGTATATGCCATATGTGTGCTCTACAAATGACTAGGCGCACAACATAGTTCACTATTATAAAGGTAAACACACACACACACACACACTCACACACACACGTTTTCTAACCAAATCAGTAATCTAAAATTCAAGAAGCAGAAACAAAAACAAAAGACTTCAAATCTGCCCAGTTGCTAATTTACCCATAAATCTAAAGTTGGCTGATAGGCTGATTGTGACACTAAGCATAGAGAGGAGTTTCATTCAATCTACCCTCATCTAATTCCTCATGAAAGCCGGAAAAGGGTCGGAGAGCTGGCAAATACCAGCCAGCAATGTAAAGGTCAGAGGTCAAAGAAACACCATTGGGGGAATGAGACCTCCACTCCTGCTCTGGGATGAGTGCTGGGGACTACGCAGTTGGTATATTGGTCAGCTGGTACTATTCTTAGTGGCACTGGATTGAATCACAAGTATCGCTAGGTACCCTCTACCGACCTGGCTGGCACAATGAAAACATTTTTAAACTTGACTGGCAAAGATCCTTTCGTAGCAATTTTCTTTTCTTTCTTTTTTTTTTTTTTGTCTTCAGTGTTCAGAGTCATGTTTTCTATCAGACCTCAACATTCATGAACTCTTCATGCCCTAAAGCACAGGCTGACTAGTTATTCAGCTGCAGGATGAAGTGCAAGAGTCTGTCATTCAGAAAATAAAAGTTTTATTTATTCTAAGAATTTGACTGATGAGTCCCTATAAGATATCATGGGGGAAAGCATCATCCTAAATATTCATGTGTGTTAGTGAGAAGGAAAAAGGGAAAAACGTGCTCTAAACTTTGAGTACAGAGCTGCCCATCTCTTATCTGGCAGATTTAGTACTTGGCAAGGACATTTCGAAGTATTTCTGTAAGTATTTATAAGTGTTCCTACTTCCATGGGATTGTACTTGGATGAGAGACTCTGAGCTTGACTGTCCGGTATTTACTGGAAGCTATATATGTCAACTCTGGTTCACAAGTCATTTTTGCAGCCAAAAAAAATTCCTGAAAACACTGACCGAGCCAGAGTTTCAGGATGAGGATGCACTTCTGAAGCAGATAGGTCTTGCGCAAAATGGATCTCTTCTTCCTTACCCTTGAGGGCCTAGCTCTGTCACAAGTTTCCACACCACCACCGGCACACTGCACTGTGCTGCGGGGGCTGTGGGGATGGGGCTCCAATAGCCTTTCCTTCCATTCAAAAGAGGGAGCTCTTTTTTTTTTTTAAGGGAAGAAATCACACGAGTTTTAGCACTTTACATGTGCTACTCTGGGAGGTATGTTTTTCATTGTTTCTTTTCATTTCACCTATTTTTTTTTCTTGTGTAACTTTTAAATGGAAGAAGAAAAAAATGTTTACAATAGCTTTTACTGTTTAATCTGCTCCTATGTGTCATTCTGGAAATTTTAATAGCAGCACTGTATGCAAACTGAGAAGTTAAGACTCATGAGACCTGATGAACTGTACTGTCATGGGCACAAGTACATGAAAAGCAAAAATCTGACAGGAAAGGTGACATTCGGTCTCCAACATGACTATCCAAAGAACATTAAAAACCAAAAAGTAACACCAAAATTTGAAATGCCAAATAAGAACATAGCTTTCAAGTTTAAATTTGGGCTCTCCCACCAAAATTCACTATTAGAGATCTTTGTGACTTTACAAACACCAGTTATCACATTAAACCAAAAAAAGGTATATTATTTAATTACCTTTCAGTGTTTCCAGCAAGTTTTTGGCTACAAACCAACATATGGCTTCAAAGAAAGGGAATTTGAAGAGATCTGGTGTTTTTAGCCTTTTCTCCATCTCATAACACCTAAATGAACAAAATTTGAAGAGATTATTAATAGGGGTATTTCAAAGTTAATCACCTTACAGAAAAGTAAACGAGCAGGCCATGGCACAGAGGACCAATCAAGCAGTACGTGTTACCTAACAACACATCTGGACAAGTGTAGGCTGTGAGCTTCTCTAGATCTGACCTTAACAAATGCAACAGTGCAATGAAGAATTCCACCAGCCCTTGTAAAAGATCACACCTTGGGGTTTGTAGCTCAGTTTTAACAGACGGAATTTTAGGAGGTTCCCACTATAACAAATAAAACAATGTTTAGAAAATAACTGGGTGTCAGACAAGTGACACTCACTCTGGGGGTTTCCTCAGATCCTGCTAAACTTTCAAGCCCAAGACCGCTTCCAGAGCTGGTCAAGGTGAGAAGACAGAACCCAGAGCTGCCACAGCGCCAGGTGCTGGTGGGAGCTGCGTAGCAGTGCACCCACATGAGCCACACGGGTGAAGCTTCAAGCCCCTTAAGAGTCGCTACTTCTTGTAACAGCTCTACCAGGCAAAGCTTCAGGGGCTCCCCAGGGACGTGACAAGTTACAAGAGTCACTACACTCAGGACAGTTTAGAGGTGGCTTCCTGACAGATATTTCTAGTTCCACCCACCCAGATGGAGTTTATCAATCAGGAATCATTTACCTAGTGACAGTCTGTCCCATCAGGCTGCCGGGGGCAGAGTCCCCCAAAGGCCAATTCTCATACAAGAGGGGAGAAGGCTGTTCATCCTCTGGCCATTGAAAAATGAGAGCACGTGTTTTGACAGCAATCCTAACACACTGCAGTTTCCCCAGCTCCCTCATCACACCTCAGTCAGCTCATGTCCCTCACTGTAAAGACAGCCCATCCATTTTTATAAACATCTGAATTGCAAGGAGCCATTTAATTTCAAACTGAATGAATTATTCTTTTTTACTTTAGATTTAAAATGCATCAAAGTCTCCTCCTACCAAAATTTCCAGATAGTGTTTTTGGTAAAAGTTCCTATTCCTAATCATTTCTTGGGGTCTATTTCCATAAGAGCTCAATTAAAATATGTTGTAAACCCATTTCTTTGAAACGTTTACATAATGTCCTATTTAAAAGAGGACAAAAAGATCCTTTGACTCCTGGCGACACAAACCTGAGCTGCATGCCAATGTTAAGGTTGTGCAAGAAGTTCCCCCCAAAAGCCATACAGTCCTGAGAAGTGAGCACAGCATGAATCCACCCTGAAATAATAAAAAGTATATAAATCAGTGATTTTTCAATATTTAAACCAAAAAGGTGTGATATTTACCTATGAAACAACGTAACTCAAAATATCAACATCAGTTTACATCATACTCCAACGCTAATTACAGTTCATAGATTCACTCAAATATTTATTAACTGCTTATTATAAGCACCACGTGCTGAGTCTGAGGAAACAAAGGCTGACGCAATTACTGTCCCAGATACGGTGAAGGTTTGGGGGTTGTTACCCTTTTAGTTTCTTTTTTAGTTTAAAAACACAATCCAACTTTCTATTAGAGATTTTATTCTGAGACTCGTCAAATCTGATTAGAATGAGGCAAGTACATTTGCCAGTAAATGAACCCTGAGACTGGCAGAGTGCTTCACCCGCAGTGCCACCCTAGATGAGTGTCTCAGCGACTACGTAGAGGAGGATCAGAGGACCCCAAGCAGACACCTGACTCTAAGAAAGGTGCCAGGAGGGTTATGGACCTATCACTATAAATGCTGGCAATCAAAGTGATGTCCTGTTGTCCCATAAAAATGTTTTTCAAAGTGAAAATCACTTCTGAGAAAGGAGGCCTAACACACACGTTTGCATGTAGAAATTAGTTGTTAAAATAGACCAATCCCATTTCCTTTATATTTTTCATCTTTTGGGCCCTAATTTGCTGTGACTCAGTATCAAAAAACTCCTCAGAAGACTAACTTCCACGTGCTGCCCATGTGTCTCCTCTCAGGCACACAGCTGTGAACCTGGTGACTCTGAGACCATGGGCTGAAGTCTCCAGCAGCTCCCAGCCCTACAGGTCAACAGCGCACTAGAGCAGGGATTTCCATTCTGCTGCCACCCATGAGCTACGAAATCTGTCATCAGCAGTCTGAGCCCAGAAATCCACATCTATGGTTACAAAGTATTTTTTGCAAATTTTTGGTACAATTTTTCAGGAATATAACTACCCTAATTTGAAGGAAACTATACCTCCAATTTGTTTGGAAGCTTATCAGTTGCCAATGATTCTGGGGGAAAAAAAAAATCATGGCATCTAGAGCATTGGTTCTCCAAGTGTGGTCTCTAGACCAGCAACATAGGCCTCAACTGGCAACTTGTTAGAAATGCAAATTGTCAGGCCCACCCGGATTTACTGAGTCAGAACCCCTAGGGAGTGCCCCAGCAATCTGTGTTTTAATAAGCCTTCTAGGTGACTCTGATGCTCAATTAAGCTTAAGAACTATTAACTTACACTACAGAATCTGAGCTGCCAATCACACACCGTTACTGCTAGCTTGTGCATCTATGCACCCTGTGTTCCGATGCTGCAGTGCCTAAGCAAGCACATTTCAAAATAGCATTTTATTATAAATTACTTTTTAATTTTTCTTTATATTCTAGTTAGTTCATCACATCAATTTTTTAAAAAATTATTTGTATAGGAGATTATCCATGAATTTGAATTCAAGATTTTGAATTTAAAAATTTCATAAAATATTTGTTAAAAAGGAGAGCTCTACAGGAGGAGCTTAGTTCATTCACAATGAATATACTGATCCTTATTTAGACTTTTAAATTCTAGTAATTCTAGGCATTTGTTCACTCATTACCCCTCATATTATAGATATCAAAGGAAAGACAAGGAGGCAGGGCTTGTGGTAACAGATCCCTGTGAATGCTTGCAGCCACTGAGGTAACCCAAATTGGAAGAACAGAATTCTCAAAACCCCCCAGCCTGGAGAGTGTAACACTCTCTTATCAACAGGGCATTTGAGCCTAAGCTAAGGCTGGTCCTCAACACACCTTAGATTCCCTCAGGACATATTCACTGTCTCCTAATTGTCCCAAGGGAGTAGCCCAGATTTTTACACGGGCTTGGCCTGTGACAACAATATAGACTTGACAGGTTAAAATTGAAGGGAACTTCATTCAAATTTAAAATTTTTGTTCAAATGAAATTATCAAGAAAATGAGAAGAAAATCCACAGAAAGAAAATATTTATATATCATCTATCTAATGAGGGTCTGGTATACAGAATATATAAGGAATACTCACAACTCAACAAAAGACAAAAAAACAACTTAAATATGAGCATAGGATTTTAATAGATTTCTCTAAAGAAGATATACAAATGGCCAGTAAGCACAAGAAAAGTGCTCAGCACCATTACTCATTAAGGAAATATAAATCAAAACCACAAGGAGATTATTTCATACTCACCAGAATGGCAAAAACCATAGACAATTACAGTATAGGTGAGGATATGGAGAAAGGGGAATTCAAGTAAATAGCTGGTGGGAATGTAAAATGGTATATCCCATTTCAAAATCAGTCTGGCAGTTCTTTAAGAAGTTAAAAGTGATTATACCATATGACTCGGCGATTCTACAGCTAAGGGAGATGAATATACACTGCCACACAAAAACTTGTACAAAAGCCAAAAAAGTGGAAACAAACCAAATGTTCATCAACTGATGAATGGATTGACAAACTCTGCTATATCAAAAAATGGAATATTATTTGGCCATAAAAAGTAACGAAATACAGAAACAGGGATTAGTCTAGTAAATATTTTGTTAAGTAAAAGCTAGAAACAAAGGGCTTATATATCACATTATATATGAAATGTTCAGAACAGGCAAGTCCATAGAGATAAGAAAGTCAGTGGCTCAGAGGAGGGGGCAGTAGGAAGGAGGGTTAATGGCATAGGGTTTCTTCTGGAGGTGATGAAATGTTCTAGAATTAGTGGCAGGGTTGTACAACTTTGTTAATTTATGAAAACCCACTGAATTATATACTTTACAGGGTGAATATCATGGCTTGTGAATTTTATCTAAATAAAAAGAAAAATGAAGGCAAATGACATAAACCATGATGCCAATACAAGTCTACAAGAGAAGATCTCAATGGGCAAAGAAGTAAAAGTTCAAGAACAGAACTATTTCTTAGCTTTGCAAAGCTACTTTCCAAATGTGTTAATACCAAAGGTTCAAATTAAAAGCTGAACTTCATGTGACTGTATCAACTATGAGAACCAGGGATAGGATTAAAACCTCACCTGTAGGAACAAATAAGGTGTGTCCCTGCTTTACCACACATTTGTAGCATTTATCCACCTTATCTCCAAAGAACACTTCACTCTGGGTCACAGATGAACTCCAAGCTTCATAGAGGGCCAAATTTCCATCTGTTGGTTTTATCAAATAAAAAATCTTCTCACCCTAAAAGAAAGCAATCATACTTTTTTGAAAAAGGAAAAGCCATTCGTAGGCTGTCCTATATTGATGCAATTTCCCAATGCAATGATCTAAAATAAATTAGATAACTACCAAGCTTTTTTAGTCTCAGAAAGATGTATTTCACATGCCTGATCAGTAACTATTGCCCTTAATAAACAGTAGCTAAAGCTCCCCCTCCCAAATATGAGAAGCAGTCAATAAAGCAGTGTTAAGAAAACAGTTTTAAGAAAGGAGGATAAAGGACCACAAACTGATCTCATTTATATATATATATTTTTTTTAAGATTTTATTTATTTTTGTGTAGAAGAACTGGAGTGTAGGCCAGAGGTGCAGTGGGGAGAGCAGACAGAGAGGAGACAGAGGGAAGAATAGAACAGGTGATTCTACTGAAATATACTGCTAAGGAGAGCAGCAGGCGAGACAGGAGAGGTCTGCTGTACCATATGTGGATTAGCTCCCTGGCTGGGATCGAACTCAGGCTGTGGGGGCGACAGAGCTGAGACTTTATCCCTAGGCAACCAGGGAAGCCCTGACCTCATTTTTAAAGTACAGAAATAATACATGTTAATAAGAACCATGTTACAGAGAGTAAGCTGCAACCATTGCCCTTTCTCCCATGAGTTATAATAGAGATTGTTTTTAAAGACCTGTAAGTAAACCTCCTTTAACAAATAAGTCCTTCACTCTCTCCTGCAGAAATGGAACAGGAGCTCAAGGACACAGCATCAGAGCACTGCAGATACATAGACACTTGATACATAGATGAAGCTTTGGTTGTAGATCAGCGCTGTGCAATCAAACTTTCAGTGATGATGGCAATGCTTTATATCTGTGTCATGCCACACAGTAGCTAGAAGCCACAGGTAGTTGGTTACTAAGCACCTGAAATGTAGTTAGTGCAAAAGAGAAACTGAATAGTCCATGATATTTCATTTTAATTATTTAAATGTAGCCCTCTGTGGCTAGTGGATACTATACTGAGTAGTGTAGTGCCAGAGAAAGCAAGGTGAATGCGTGCTACCAAGAATTAGCTATTTTTTGGGCATTCCTGACTGAGCCAACCAGCTGTCATAGACTGACCTTAAGATCAGAAGCTATTATTACTATAATTTTGTTCCTTCTCAGTTATTTGATTTAGGGATTAGCTGATAATTGATTGGATTGGGGCCAAGAGGAAACAAAAAGAAGGTTAAAAGAAATCAACTTATGAGAAGAGGCAAAAAAAGGAATCTAAATATAAATTAAGAGCTAAGGGTTCCTCTACTGCTTGCGATAAGAAAAAGAATCATATTTAATGATAGATACTAGTTAAAGAGTATAAAATTTTCCTTCTGTACAGCAAATGCATAAACCCCTGGGAAAACATGACTATATGTCTTTGTCAGTAAGAGAACAACAACAAAAATCCCAGCCTTACCCAGAGGACATGGTACCAAACTGAAGTCCCACCAAAGTCGATGTGGAAATCTGTGTAGCTGTCTTGAACGCCCATCAAGCAGTACTTCTGAACAAATGGCTTAGGAAAGACTGAATCATCTGGCCAGTAATTTTCCACCCAAGAAAGTTTTCTGGCTATATCAGGGACCTCCACCAATTCAGACATCCTTTAAAAAAGCAAACATACATATACCCATATACCCACATCAAGCAAATTAAAATTTCTTAAAATTGCATCTCCCATCTCAACCCAAACAAAGAAATTAACTGGAACTCAAGGTTAACAACAGCAAAGCTTAAAACTCATCTTATTTCTAAATATTCTCTAAGCGTGCAGAGGCAAAATTAAAACATTGCTACCAATGGACCACTTTGGAAGTCACAATTATGTTTCTTACTAAAATTAATTTATCATTAAACTACATTTAGCTAACACTCAGAAGGCTAAACCGAAATGTCCAGAACTACTCACTTTGTATCTGAAAATTCAAGGCTGATCACATTTAACACTTTTGGTCTGTTAGGATTCATGAAGTATTTAACATAATTGTGAAGTGTCATTTTGCTGTCTGCCTGCCTTGCCACATCAATGACATCTATCACTTTGTCACCACCTGCAGAGAAAAATTATAGTCTTATTATTGGGCTTAAGAGCTACACCACAGATGTCCTAAACAAAATATTTTAAAGACCACATATATTCTTGATATGACACTAAGCCAACTCTAAAGCTACATAGCCGAGAGAAAGATTTTCCTATATCTTTAATTTTTAAGTCCAACTGGAACTTTTGAGAAAAAGGATGATTTTTGAGGGAAAGAATAAAGCAATCAAGACAGTGCTGCATAAGTAATGCTGACCATAAACACTTAGATGGCTTACAAAGCTTTTTCTAGACCCGTGATTTCTCACGGGCACTCATGACAAAACACATCCCAAAGGTGTATGGGAACAGTGCCACACGCTCTAGGGGGTGGTTTTCTCATGGGAACCCCGAGGGAACCAATTTTTCCCTTCATTCCTAGCACACCAAAGAGTCTATCATTCTGAAAAGCGAGCAGCCGTTGGGCAATCAGTGGTCAAGTTAACCAGCATACACAATTCCTGCTCGCCTGGTGGTGTCTTCTCTTCTAATATTCTGCTTCAAGACAAAATCATTGCTTAGGAGGAAAACATCAGCCCATCTTCATGTCTGAATCGAGTTCTGAATTGGGGTCAATGTACAATTTTTCTGGAAAACTGGGAGGTGCGGCCTGCACACCACCGCATGGCCACGCTAGGTGGCTTGGTCAGTTTCCCAATGCTCTACAGGGGAAGGTGGCATTCAAAACCTGACAAGTCTTAATCAGTCTGAAATAGGAAACAAATACCATTTTTGCACTTTAATGTAACTTGATATGACTAGGAAAGTATTGCCTAGCAGACTTTATCTTTTTTTTTTTAAATAATAAATTTTATTTTTATATTCCCCATATAATTGTAACCCCCCCATTCTGACCCCAATCCCTCCCCTCCCGCCCCCCCCCCCCAAAAAGTGTCTCTGTTTCATAGTTTTTTGTTGATTTTGATTTTCACTTTCTTATAGTTATTCATTTTCCTGGTCCCTTATTTAAGTTTTCTAGATTCCTGCTATGAGTGAGACCATCCGGTATCAGACTTTATCTTATCTTTAGGAGGCAAGGCGATTTTTGTCAGCCAAATACTTCACAGGATTACAAAGGTTAGTTTTCAAGCAGTTAGACCTTTCCCCCTACATTTACATCACACAGTGTTGTATAGCAAGTAGGTCAAATTCAAGCTTCATCCCTTAAATTATCAATTGGTCAATTAGTCAATGAGAACTGCTACCCGATGGCTCGATAAGGGGACAAGTCCTCAGACTCTGCACACTGAGGAGATCACGTGCTGCAGTGAACACAGGACTGTGGGCCAAGGTAGACTGGAGGGCTCATCTACAATCACTTTTATCTACCGCTGTCGAGGGTTGAGAGCTGCTCACAGTCAGACGTGTCTGTAAGCACCATGAGGAGAAGGTATGACATGACTGAAAACGTCAACAATGTTGCCAGAGGTGAAAGGCTTTCCCTGAGTTTCTTATTCTTTTCTGGGCCTCAAGATCACAAGTTAATAAGTCTAAACAGCAATCACCGACTATATTAAGTTATTAATATTAATATTAATATTAATATTAATATTAATTAATATTAATTAATCCCCGGTGGCTCAGCGGTTGAGTGCTGGGTTGCGAAGCTGCCCGCGGCCTCTGTGGCGCCGGTTCGATCCCCGGCTGCTCCCCGGCCACCGGAGGAGGGTCCCGCATGGCGCGCAGACCTCTCCTGCCGCCCGCTGCTCCCCTCAGCAGTGTACTTCGGTCCTTCTGCCTGCTCTGCTCCCCGCTCTGGCTCTGGTGAATTCTCTCACCCTCCCGCGCTTCTGACTGTACCCAGTGCATGTATAAACAAAACAAACAAATAAATAAATAAATAAATAAAACATGCCTCTATTAAAAAAAAAAAAAAGTTAAAAAAAAAATTGAAAATTATCTTTTTGACAACCTTTCTCTAAGCAGCAAGAGGTGACTCACTAAAGGAAGTTCCAGAGGACAAACGATGCTGCTGGGGTACAGGGGTCAGTAATCTGGAGTCTGAATTCCATAGAAGCCTAAAGCCAGTCCAATTTCCTAATTCATTCTTCCTTAGTATTTCAGCTACCCATCAGGAACAACTTTCTCCAAACAAGTATCAGAAAATTTAATAACAAAAAATCAGCAGCTGAAGCTGTTTTTCTGGTAATTGTAGCCTGGCTGAGAAAAAATCGTTAGATGGTACTGAATTTCATATTTCCTGACTCAGGAAAACAAACTAAGTTAATATCTCTTTTCTTAACTTAATATTATTAGGATATTATCATTTTTACTTGTACCATGTTTTTCCAAGTACATAAAGGAATCGGGTTCGTACCTACATAGCGTTCCACATCCACAACAGAAAAAGTGGGTGGAGGGAGCCTGAGTCCTAGGTCATCTAATTTGGCGACCATAATAGGGACTTCAAATCCATGCTTCTCCAGGTACCTCTGCGTCAGCTGGCTGCCATGCGTCTTCACGATGATCTCGTCAGCACTGAGGAAAGCATAAGGCGAAATGTCATCTTTGTTGGGAAGTTCAGTCAAAAAAAACCTCTGGGATTTACTCATATACTATATTATCTGTATCAGTGGTTCTCATTTTATCATACCTATTTCTCCTTTCTCCTTCACCTGACTCACTGAGTTTCTGTACTGCCTTTTCATTTCCCCAAAAGCCTCCATAATTGTCCCTCCTTCCCTAGGAGAATTTTGAATCACTTGAACTCCTCGCTCTTAAACATACAGTGCTTAACTTTCCCTGTCGATCAAAAATATATAGATACAAGTGATTATAAAAACATAGATACATCATTACTTGCAAGAGAAAAAGAAGGGAACAAACTAAAGATACATCATAGAGCTGGATAAGTTAGTCTGGTGTAACATGCACTATTGCATACTACACAGCAGCTAAGAAGTAAATCTAAGTTTGTGTGCACAAGCATGGAAGGGGATCTATGAAACATAATAGGATTTAAAAAATGAAGTTGCACAACACTTGCATGACATAACCCAAATTTTATTTTTTTAATTGTATATATATGGACTGTATAAGTACATAAAATGGTACATGTATAAAAATTATACACTGTAAAATGGTTTATAACTATTAGATATATATATTCAAGCATCTATATACAGAAATATTTTAAATATTATTTATGTAAAAAAGGGCCTCGAAAGACTTAAACTAGGTCTAAAAATTGGTGAAGGGTAAGAAACCCATTCAATTTTATTTTCTATACCTCTGTGTTAATGACATTAAGTACGTGTAATTTACTTATTACTGTTACTCTTCTACAGTTTCAAGTGGTGTGAAGGTTTGTGAAGTTAAAATAAAGCCAAAGAGCTCTCATCAATGGTGATCACAGCGTGGACAGCTGCCAGAGCTCTGTAACCTGCTCTCACTTGGGCAGAGAAGCCACAGGAGATACCTGGTCGGGGGTTTTTAACTCTACTCTTTTGGGTCACAAGCCTATTTGAAGCAATGAACGCTCTTCCCCCTGAAAAATGCACAATCACACACTGACACTAATTTGGTTATATAGATTGAGGGATGCTTCTCTGAAGTCAGCTCATAGATTCAGGCTGAAAACTATGACCCTAAGTGCCAACCAATAAAGGAAATTACTTCTCCAAAGACCCTGAATCTGATAGAGACTATTTGAGAACAGGGCCTTTAACATCACAAAAATCATATGGAAACCAGTCTCATATAGATCAACTGTTGAGAAGCAATAAATGTTTATCATTTACATGTTTCTGCTTAAAGATGAAAGGAAAGGGGGACAGACAGCGATCCTACAGATTCTGAGGAAATAGCAGGGTTTTTATAATTGCGGGATCTAAAATAATTCCATAATAGGCAGCATGTGATATTGTGATTTAAATTTGAATTGTACTTCCCCTCTTTAACAAGCCTGGATATGATCTTGTATAAAAGCCTATTAAGCATTATCACTTTAAATAGATGTCAGGCAGTGAGAAGGAAGTGATCTGAATTAGCATGATTAAATGCAGTATAATGCTTTTGACTCTCTTTTGAGCCACAGATAACTCAAATACTTTCCATTATCTTTAAAAAACAAAAAAGCGCGGTCATGCTGCCACACAGAGGCTGAGCAATGGTTACGGTAGACTTGGGATGGCGAGAGATGTGAAAACAACACAAGACAAAAGAAGCTTGAAAACAGAAGCAGTGAAGTGAAAGAGGCAGCAGCTGTGTATCATAAGGAACCAAGCACTAGAAATAGTTGACTTAGGTTCATATATTTCAAACTTTTAGTATTGAGACCTACAGTTAAGAAATAAGTTTTTACATAGTAACTGAGTGTACACACACACACACACACACACACACACACACACACATGCAGTTCCATGAAGCTATTCTTACGCGCTCCTATTATTTGCAAGAAGGAAATTTTCTATTCTATTTCATTAAAAAAAAAAAAAAAGGCTGATAGAGAACAATAGATTGCACAGTGAAGTCTGAAAACATTGCTTCAGATAATATCACTTTATCAGGTAATATTCTTACATTTTTTGTCACAACAAGTTTCCATACCTTGGGAAGACTCGAGAACGTAATTCCTTCACAAAAGCTCTAGTTCCAGCTTGCACTGGTTTGGAACCATCATCAATTTCTGTGTAGTCATGCCTGTGCCAGTTCCTCCTCTTCTTCACTAGATTTTTAAAAGATTAAAAAAAAACATTTTTGGTAATTGAGGTTACTATGTGCTATCTAATCAGTATCACTATGTTCAGAAATAACATTTACTATGTTCAGAAATAACAATAGTAGCAACGAAAACACGCACATCCATGCCAAAGAAGTAAATTATACTTCATGTAATGCTGCAATCACAGGTTTCCCCCACTATTCAAAATTAAAACATTCCTATTTGGTATAATTTAGTAGGTTATTTTTTGGGTCTGGCAAGGTTCAAAAATGTTTCCCTATAAATTAAGAGCAAGAGAATTAATTCCCAGAGCCATAAAATAACCCACCAAATTGGAACATTCTATTTTTGAATAGCAGGGGAAACCTAAATAGGCAATTAACTATGGATTGAAAAAAAAATCTACTCTTGCTCTTTCCATCCCACATTAGAAATCTATCATAACAGCATATTTCCCTTTCTCTTTGTGTCAAGAATGATTCCCAAAATAAATACGGTTACACAAACAAGAGTCAGCAAATGCATCAAAATTAAAGGAAGACAAGTGGGATGATAAATAACTTTACAGGCGGTTCTAACAAAAAGATTCCTGCTTCTACTGTTCTGGGAGGTGACAATCTTGTAGAGGCAAATCCAAGATTTGACTCCTAGTTTAGCTGTAACTTACTCTGCAACCTTGGGCAAGTCACTTAACACATCTGGGTCCAATTTGCCCATGTGGAAGTGGAGAGGATGAGTGGTTTTCAAACTGTGGAGGAATCCCCTGGGCTGAGTGGAAATTGGAAAAGAGTCCAATGGAGGCATCCTTTTCCACCAGGCGGGAGCCAGCTATAAATCTTTTATGTGGTATCAATGTAAGAGTTCAGTTTGATCTCTCTTTTCTTTTTTAAGTATGAAAATCACTCTTAAGCCCCAAACCTCCATGATTCTGGAAAATGTGCTGAAATTGTTAATTTAGAATCCACCAAACAAATAACATGGCTAGATACATGGATAGTTAGAAGGACAGTTACCCAAACATGTGGTAAAGCAAGTAACGTAAAATGTATATAGTGAATCTAGATTATGGGTAAAAGGCACCTGATGTAAAATTCCTTCAACTTTTTCTGTATGTTTTCATAAAAAAACCACTGGGGTGGGGGAGCAATTCTATGAGTCTAAGTTACTTTATTCCTTCACTTCACATCATATAATAAGATCATCACAGTAATACTAAATCCACATATTAAGAAGTCACACTATCAATAAGGGTGGAAGTCAGGTCTATGCAACAACCGAGTGTCCAGAAGAAGGCTCCTATGTAATTATGGCACCGAACACCCTCAGTATGGAAAAGCACATGCCGTTTTCAAAAAATCTCGTAAGAAAAATTAAGAATCATAAAGTGCACTTTCTCTTCCTAGAAAGTAACATTAAGGCATCCTGTGTGTTATTTTTTTTTACATTTAAAATCACTTCTAAAATTCGAGGGTATTTCATTCCAGGTTATTTTTATTTTTTAAACACACACACACACCCACACACACATCTAATCCCATTTTATTTTCAACTAGGGTAATGTCTATCTTGCTTACCTTATTATATCATGAGCACTTTCTCCTTATTAAATATTCAAAAGCAATTTAAAGGCAACCTAGATTTTTAAGATGTAGATGCATCATATAATAACTTTTTGATTCTTAAGTACTTAATTCATTCTGAAATCTTTCATCAAACGAAGTTGAGATTAATATTCACATACGAAAATCATTTCCTGCATTAATTTTTCAGGATAAATTACCAGAAACACTGGAAGACTCAATATTTTTAAGACACTTGCTGTACATTGCAAAACTGCCTCCAGAAAAGTGTTAGGCAACTGACATCCTTACCCATCTATATAAGCTGCCTATTTAAAGGTCAACAGTGAACATTATCACTTAAAAAAAAAGAAAAAAGAAAAAGCTGCCCATCTGCTAAGTATACTATGATACTACATTGTTTTAATTTTCATTTTTTGGCAGAAAAGATTAGAATCAAAGCATATTTGGGATTGGATAGTTATAGGTTCAAACTCCAATTCCGCCAAGTAGCTATGAAAAAGCTAATTAGGTAACTTTTCTCACATCAAGGCCTTATATATTTGTATCACAGAAGATAATGTAAGGTCAAGAACCTATTAGCCTAGTGCCTGCTGCTACCCAGTAAGCTGCCAAACACCATCCTTGCTAAAGGCCCTGGCCAGCAGGATGTGAATAGCACAGGTAACACATTTGTTCTGCCCTGCTGGGCCAGCACCGGTAACACATGCAGTCAGCTACTGCAGAGCTGACTGAACCTCTTAAGGAAGGAGCCCAGTGAAGGAACATCTTAGTGTTAAAGAGAATGGAGGAAATTTGAGTCTGGGTGGCATGTGTTTGAGGAGTGCTGAAAATATTTTAGTACTGGGCTGTTTTTCGATACCTACCCTCAAACAGAGCTCTTAATCACCATATGAAGTTGTACTACACTGTTCAAGTAATAGCTATGATAAGAGTACTAGGGACTTCTGAAAGTAAGAGGAAACCCTGGGGGGCAGGGGAGAAGGGGGCAAGCAAGAAAGGGTTAGTAGCAGAGGAAAAGGGACCAAAAGGAATTACCCAAATTGGGCGTCAAGGGTGAGGATGGGGAAGATGAGCCTTAAATCAGATAAAATAGGTTAGTGGATCTCGAGCATTTGCCCGTGGTTCTCAGAGTTGGACTTTTGCCCAGAAGACAGCCAATGTCTGATCTTAAGTTGTTCAAGAAGAAGCAGCCTACAAAGGCCAGGTGATAGTCAAAGCTTCTCTTGAAGCATCATTATTCAAAGTGCAGGTTGTGGTCCACTATGGATTGTGAAATCAATTTAGTGATTGATTTCACTAAAAAGCACAATTTAGTGATTGATTTCACAAAAAAGCACAACAAGCTTTTTTGAAAATTAAGTCATATAGGAAAAATAGAAAACAGAGTACATATGTAGTAGTATTTTAAACACTACATTATTCTGCGCCATACTAACCAAGTCTTTACAACTTTACTCTGCATTTGTACAATGACATTAGTATTATTCCAACCTATTCTTCTGAAGCATTTGTAAACAGCTAAAATGTATGTGATTTTACATGTGATGCTGATACAGTCCAGAGGACACATGAGCTTTCCTGACTGCCCTTGCCCTTCAGGAAGAAGAAAACTTGTTCTGGTCTTTGTCTTTCTTGGGACAGAGATCGAGGGGGAGCAGAGATTTTGAGCAGAGGATGGCTGGGCCCAGTCATACTCAATACAATAACCCAATTCAGAAAACAGAAGTAACATTTTAACCTATTAATGCCCCTCTGTGCATACATTAAAGTATTATTCTGTCCAAAACACTACTAATAGCTATCTTCAAAAGTTATTTAGAAAGAGATAAAAACAGGTAAAATAAGTTCCCAGAATCACAAAATTTACTTTATCACACTTCTCAAATTGAAAGCTTTGAAAATATGTACTTGAGTCTGGGGGCTTTGCACTGGCAGTCAAGAAAGATGCTATTTTTCCTCTTAACCTTTTGTCTTTGTAAGTTATTTAACAATTCAGGCAAAAGCTGCATTCTCAATTATCTTCAGAAAAATCTTGCCCATAGTCTTCGGTGGGTATAACCAGACAGAACACCATTAAACTAGTCAGAGTACCATTCAAGTATTATCATGTATGTGGTAAGTGCTAAACTTTAATTTGTACATAAGCATTTAATACTTACTTAAAGAGGAACCATGGAGAACCGCACAGTTGGGACAGTGATAAAGGTCAATGTCAACGGCATGATGTTCTTCTACTCCAACACAGCTAAGACAAAGAAAAATAAAACCAATATATAAATAAACTGAAATTTTTAACTACAATAGATTGGTTGGAATTTAGCTGAGAAACATACTACCACCTCTTATGTTTCTGAATACAGAAATACATGCAAAGATAAATTTTGTTCTCTTCCCAACCCACGTGCTAAATAATTGTGGGGGAGTATATATTCAAATACACGAACAGTGGTGGACAATTAGCAGTAGCAGAGCCATCAGAAGTAATGCAACTGTAAATCCTAAGATCCTCAACCCTTATGCATGACTCAAGATCTGTCCCCCACCTCCTAACTCTTGCCCAAATTCACATATTGAAACTGTAACCCCAGTATAGCTCTATTTGGAGAAAGAGCCCCTAAGTAAGTAATTAAGGTTAAGTGAGGTCATAGGTCAAAATCCTACAAGCCAGACAGGACTAGTGTCCTCATAAGCAGCATCCAGGACAGGTCCCAGGAGCACACAGCAAGGAGGAAGCCTTCTGCAAGCCAGGAAGGGAACCCACCCCAGAAACTAAAAAGAGATAGTGAACCCTCATGAACCTTAATCTGGGAATTCAAGCCCCCAGAACTGTGAGAAATTCAATTTCTATTGTTTAGGTCTCCCTGTATAGGGTATTTCGTTATGGCAGCTCAAACAGACTGGGACATAAATCGCCCAGCTTTAAAACATGGCCGTCATCAGCCAGTGGTGCTGAGTATGTCTGGGAAATCACTGACATGGAGAGAGCACTGAGACTAAGAGTTTTGCTTTAGGTCTCACAGTCCGTGAGAGTTAGTTAGTTGGAGGCACTGTGCTAGTGCCTCATCATGCCACACCATGGACTATGTAGCTGTGGCACTTATATAAAAACAAAATTTAAGGAAACCAACTAGAGACTGAAAAACTAGTGACATCTTGAAAATACAGTACTTTATCAAAGAATGATCACAGCAGCTTTACTACCTCTCATAACTTAATAAGGCAACATATTATAAGTTATGGGGCAAAAACACAACAACTTATACTTGAAAACGAACAAAGGCAGAACTAACAAAATTGGGAGGGGTGTGGGGAGGAGACAGGATGAGTCATTTAACAGATAAAAATAGGAACTGGATGATGGGCACAGTACTTAGCATGCAGCAGAGAGAAACAAGATGATGGGAAACACAAGTGAGATGGTAAGACCCATAAAGGATAAAATGAAATGCCTAACGAACCTTTAGTCAGAGCCACAGAAGGTCAAGTGAGAAGTGATGAGAACCTAACGGCTAAGAAATTCCAAAAACAATGAAAGACACCAATTACGACTCGAGAAACCCAACAAATCCCAAGTTAGAAAAACAGTAAGAAATCTACATCTAACCACATCATAGTAAAACATTATGCTGGAGGGTCTAGCTGTGACAGTACAATAAGAAAAAGAATTAATAGTGCAGGGAATTGAAAAGAAAAAAACAAAGCTGGCATTTGCATAAGCTATGGTACTAGGAAAACTGTAAGAATCAATAAAAACAAAAGTTGCTAGATACAGCATCAATGCAGAAAAAAGCAGATGTACTTCCATACACCAACAATACAGAGCTAAAAAATTAAATCAAACACTACATTCAACTGCATAAAAAAGGCCAAGTATGTGGACATTTAATAAAAACTATGCAAGACCTCTTTGAAGAAAATTATACAGCATCATTAAGAGAATTTAGAGAATACCTAAATGAATGGGGATATACATCATGGTCATGAATATGAATTTCAATAATGTAAAGATACTAATCCTCCTAAAGAGATTTACGGATTCAACTTAATCCCAGTCCAAAAAATCCCAATCTGTGTAATTTGGCAAGCCGATGCTACAACTGACGTGGAAATACAAAAGGCCAAGGTTATGCATGGCCTTCTGGGGATGAGAGCAGGGAGTGGGGAACACTCTACCAGGTGTCAAGACTTATTTTAAGTTACAGAAATTAAGGTGCATGAAACAGACGCAGGGGCCCAGAAAGACACACACACATTCGGGTGCATCTGTGTGACAGAGGAGGCGCTGCAGAACAACAGCTCACAGACAGACCGACCTCAGGAAAAGACTCTGAGACACCTTGTACCTGTCTGTATGGAGAAAAAATATGAAATTAAACACCTACCTCACAACATAAAAATTTAATCCAAAAGTAGATTAAAAACCTAAACACAAGGGGCCTCCCTGGTAGCGCAAAGGGTTGGTAAAGGTTTCTTTATCATAGGACGCAACCTATGAAGCTGTCCGCAATCTCAGCAGCACGAGTTCGATCCCCTGGCCCTCCAGGGAGCAGCCCGCATGGCGCAGCAAACATCTCCCGACTCACCCACTGCTTCCCTTAGCAGTGTACTTTGGTCAGTCTGCCTGTTCTGTTCCCTACTCTGTCTCTGGTGAATCCTCTCACCCCCACACCTCTGACCTGTTCCCCAGCTCTTGTATGCATAAATAAATAAATCTTTAAAGGTTGTATAATATGAAAAAATCTTTATGACTTTATGGTAGGGAAGGCTATCTTTTTTTAAAGATTTATTTATTTATACAAGAACTGGGGTACAGTCAGAGGCACAGGAGGGTGAAAGAATTCACCAGAAACAGAGCAGGGAGTAGAACAGGCAGACGGGCCAAGAATACTGCTCAGGGGAGCAGCGGGCGAGACAGGAGAGGTCTGGCTCGCCATGTGGGAATCTCCCTGGCTGGCCGGGAATTGAACCGGCACTGCAGAGACTACGAACAGCTTCACAGTGCAGCCCTCAACCCGCTACGCCACTAGGGAGGCCCAGGGAAGGCTATCTTTATCAAAACATAAAGTGCCCCATAGCTATAACGGGGGAAACTGATAACTTCAATCATCCTGAAATTATTGCTGTTCATTCAGCTCTGTCGAATGAAAGGCTAAGTCAGAGTGGGAGACAAATAACCATCAAAAGAGAAAAATGGACAGAGACTTGAACACTCGTCACTAAAGGAAATCCAAGAGGCTGATGAACACAGGAAAAGGTGTGCACCCTCATTATAGTAACTAAGGGAAATACAAACAATAAAATGCCATTATACAGATTGGTTAATACTAAAAAGTCAGAGGATACCAAATATTGATGATGATAATGATGTGAAAAAAGGGAAGTTTTCATACACTGCTGCCTGGAGTAAACCTGGTGCAGTCATTTTGGGAAACAACTTTGCAACAAAACTTAAGAGTATGTGTGCAATAAAACTTAAGACATACCTACGATCAAGCAATTTCTCTTTTAGATAAAAATATCTTAGAGAAACTCATGTGCACCAAATACCCACACAAGAATGGCTACAGAATCATTATTTATAACAGTAAAATAAATTACAGTATATTCTCACAGTAGAATTCTACACAACAATAAAAATGACAGAACTATGGCCCCCTGCAATAAACAAATGGATTCTACAAATGTCAACAGAATTTTTGAAAGAGTATAATATATACAATATATTCCACTTATGTATGAAGTTCAAACCAGACAAAGCTAAAGTACAATGTTTAGGGATTAGACTATAAAGAAAGGCAAAGAGGAAATGGATCGTAACAGATAGTGGTTACCTCTAGGGAGTTGTGGTCTGGAAAAGATGGAGAAGAGGGCTGTCCTGGGGTTCTGGGTTATTATAAGAGTGTATGTTTTATGGGCCTCCCTGGTGGCGCAAGGGGTTAAGACGCAACCTATGAAGCTATCTGCACCCACTGGGGCACGAGTTCGAGCCCCAGCCAGGGAGCTACCCACATGGCGCAGCAGACCTCTCTTGTCTCACCCGCCGCTCCCCTCAGCAGTGTATTTCATTCAATCTGCTTGTTCTGTTCCCCTCTGTCTCTGGTGAATCCTCTCATCCCCCACACCTCTGGCCTATACCCCAGTTCTTGTATGCATAAATAAATAAATCTTAAAAAAAAGTGTATGTTTTATAATTAATCATTAAACTAAACATTTATGTTTCCGATACTTCTCTGTGTTATTTCACAATTAAAACACAAGGATAAAATTCTATCTACAAGCATGTGAAAAAAATTAAGCTAACAGAAACCTTGGCATGTATTAATCCAAAAACAATAAAAATATCAAAAAGATGACTCTTAAAGATCTGTGGATTGGTCTCACTCATAGCAGGAATCTGGAAAACTTAAATAAGGGACCAGGAAAAAAGAATAACTATAAGAAATAAAATATTAAAATCAACAAACAACTATGAACCAGAGACACTCTATGGGGGGGTGGGGGCGGGGAAAGGAGGACTGGGTAAAAATAAGGGTGTTGTAATGGTATGGGGAATATAAAAATAAAATCAAAATCAAAATAAATAAATAAATAGATAGATAAATAAATATCACTTTCTGGTCCAGTGGGAAAAAAAATAAAGATCTGTGGATACCCCAAAATGAGCCTGTTCTCATATGAGAATCCTGAGCATGTGCTACCATAAGGACTTTGAGAGTCTGGGTAGCCCTCCCTTTAATTAAGGCAAAAAAAGTCCAAAAAAGGAACTCCCCTGGTGGCGCAGCGGTTGGGCGCTGGGTTGCGAAGCTGCCCGCAGCCTCTGCAGTGCCAGTTCGATCCCCAGCCCCCAGCGAGGGTCCCACGTGGCGCGCAGACCTCTCCTGACGCCCGCTGCTCCCCTCAGCAGTGCATTTCGTCAGTCTTCCTGTTCTGTTCCCCGCTCTGGCTCTGGTGAATTCTCTCACCCTCCCGCGCTTCTGACTGTACCCAGTGCTTGTATAAATAAATAAATAAATCTTTAAAACAAAAAAAAGTCCAAAAAAAGTTGTCAAAAATAACATTACCATTTGAAATTCAATTCATGTAACTGAGTCGAGTAATGGCAATTTACTTTTGAGTAGAACTGAAATGCACTTTGTTTTATTTGTCCAATTTAGATTTACTTCTTTTCTTTCCACAGAAAGCAAAAGGAGAATTTACTTATTGTTTAAAGGTTACTATTTAACCTGAAAAACTTATCAATTGCCA